TTGTTTGTTTGTTTGTTTTAGATTTTGTTTGAGAGGTAGAATTAGAGAGGGAGAGACAGAGGTCTTCCTTCCACTGGTTCACTCCCCAAATGACCACAACAGCCAGAGCTGGGCTGACTAGAAGCTAAGAGCTTCTTCCGGGTCTCCCATGTGGGTGCAGGGGCTCAAGCACTTGGGCCATTTTCTGCTTTCCCAGGCCATAGCAGAGAGCTAGATCAGAAGAGGAGCAGCCGGGACATGAACTGGGTATGGGATGCAGGCACTGCAGGCTGAGGTTTAGCCTACTACACCACAGCGCCGGCCCTGGAGTCGTCTTCATAATGTCATTGGATTGACTGTATTCTCTTGTATCTCAGAAAATTTCCTAAAATTGTCGTTTTGAATTGTTAGGCAATTTATCTATTTTCATTTCTTTGTGTTCTGTTGCTAAGGAGTTAGTTTCCTCGTGTTTCTTGTGTCCCTGTGGTAGTTTTTGGTCATTTGCTTCTCCCAATCGTATAGGGTGGCTTTCACCGTGGGAGACCTGCTGGCGTGCGGCCTGGCATGTTGGCTGGATATGCTGTGTTGACTTTGGTGCCAGGTGGGCACGAAAGCGTAGTGACCCTGTAGCTTCCTCAGCTGTAGGTGGTGTTGGTGACGTCTGACGGTGTCTTAGTGGCCGAGGCTTGGAGGGCTTGTGGGATTGCACCAGCAGTTGGGATGCAGCTCCTTAGCAGGGGCGGGTTCACTGGCAGTGCTGTGTGGGATGTACCTGGCTGCAGGGGGGTCGTGCCCATCAGTTTGAGGGTCAGGAGTCTGGGGCCACCCCTGTGGGCCCAGGTGGATGTGTGCCTGGCAGGGGGGCAGGAAGCCTGCTGGTGTCTGCAATTTCATGGAATCCCCGGGGGCTGACCTGCTCAGGGAAGTCTACCTCGCTGGGGCCCAGGGTGGTTGGGCAAGACCAAGTGTCTGCGTCCCGGGGCCTCTGCTGACAATGGGCCGAGCTCCTGAGAACAGGTTGCTCAGGTGCCTCTCGGGGCCCTGGGAGGCGGGAGAGGCTGCCCCCTCTGCTTCCCGGGGCCTCAGTGAGCCCAGCCGCTAAGGAAAGGCCACTCGCTCGCTTTCCAGGGCGGCGGGTAAGTGGGGGGGCAGGGCTGTTCGTCTGCAGGTGCAACTGCACTCGGAGAGTTGTCCAGTTGCTTCTCAGGGCTAAGCCTGTGGGTGTCGGGGCGGGGGCGGGGGGGGCTTGGCTGCATCCAGGTCAGCAGGATGGCGGGTGGGGCTGCCCAGCTGTTTTCTGGGGGCCCTGGGAGGTGTGGGTTTTATCACCACTGTACAGCCAGAGCCTGGCTGGGCCCTTCCTTTCTCGGGGGCAGTGCAGTGGTATGGTAACCCTTGAGCTCTTCAAACCGTGGGGCCCGAGTTCTTTGGTAGTAAATGCGTCGGGTGTCTGTGGTGTGAGTGGGGACTGTGGGGGCCTCCGCTTACCCTCTTCCAGCCGAGCAAAGTCCCTGCTGCTTCAGGGCTGATCCCGAGAAGGAGCGGCTGGGGCTGTGTGCTTAGCTCCCCTCTTCATGAGGCCACCGCACACCCCTCTGCTCCTGGTCCCCCCTCCCATCGGGCCGCTCGGGGAGTCTGCCCCTTGGCTAACAGAGTCCCGAAGGCCTTGGTTTTCATGGTGGTGGGTCTGGCCTAGGGCCTGGGCCGATTCCCTGTCCTGAACCCAAGAGGAGGCGTGTGGAGCTGGGAGAGGGGTTTCCTTCCTGCCTTCCTCAGCGCATTTCCTGGCATTATGCTAAAGCCAGACACTGTGGGCTCCCACGTGGCTTCCCCAGCTTTTGTACAGGAAGATGGTGGGTGAGTGGCTGTTCACGTGGGTGCCTCATGGGTGAGGACCTTAGCTGACACCTGGTTCCATATTCCACCCCCTTGCTGATTGCTTCTCAATACCAGTAGACCGTGACCCACAGCGCGGTGATAACCTGCAGCCCTGTTCTTCAGTGCAGGAGAGTAGGGGAACACCGGTTTTCACTCCTCAGGTGTTAACAATGAACTGCTAGCTTCCCACGTAGGATGTTTCTCTGTAGGCTGATTCACGCGCACGATGCTTATTCTAAAGAGCTGGCTTCAGCACGCCCTCCCCTCCTCCACGCCCCCTCAGCCACTCTGGCCTGCAGAATAAGGTGGCAGAGATAAGAAAGTTAGCAACTTCTAGAACGGTGTCTGGTCACTGAGCCCCAGGATCTGAATAAGTGGTGTCTAGAATGACAGCCTTCCGTTGTCTTCGGATGCTCAACTCTAGGCCACTTCCACAGCCTCTTTGCAAGGCGGTGCAGATCTCCCCTGTGTCCTGAGCAGGGCGGTCCCCACAGCAGCGCTGTCCCTCCCAGATGCCGGGTGGGAGGTGGCGTAGTGAACGGAGTTGGCTGAGCAACCACTGTGTCTCGAGTTTCACCTTTGCCTCCCCTTCCTTACAAGGAAACCCACGCAGACATCTTGTGCGCATGGGCCCTTCCTTGGAGGTAACTGCAGTGAAGGGAGCAACCCTGCGACTTGGAACACCAGCAGTGGCTGGAGGGCTGGCGCTCTGGCCATGGCCCCATTGGCGTGTGTCTCCAGAGCAGCATGGGGAAACTTCTCTGCCAAGGGCTATCTGGGGGTGTGTGGGTTTTAAAGTTTTATTTGAAAGGTGGAGTTAGAGGGAAAGACAGACCTTCCATCTGCTTGTTCACTCCCTAAATGGCTGCAATGCCCAGAGCTGGGCCAGGCCGAAGCCAGGAGCTTCTTCTGGGTCTCCAACGTGGGTGCAGGGGCCCAAGGACTTGGCCCACCCTCTGCTGCTTTCCCAGGTGTATTAGCAGGGAGCTGGATCAGAAGTGGCGCAGCCAGGAATCAAACCAGGGTCCGTACGGGATGGCTGGTGTCACGTAGTGGCTTATCCCACTGTGCCACAATGCCGGCCCCATCTGGTTTTTTTATTATTATTATTTGAGAGACAGTTACAGAGAGAGGTAGAGACAGAGGTCTTCTATCTGCTGGTTCACTCCCCAGATTGCCACAATGGCCGGAGCTGCGCAGATCAGGAGCCAGGAGCTTCTTCCGGATCTCCCATGCGGGTGCAGGAGCCCAAGAACTTGGGCCATCTTCTACTGCCTTCCCAGGCCATAGCAGAGAGCTGGATCGGAAAAGGAGCAACTGGGACTAGAACTTGTACCCATATGGGATGCCGGCACTTCAGGCTAGGGCTTTAACCTGCTGCGCCACAGTGCTGGCCCCCCATCTGGGTATTTCTAACATCATTCACAGGTCATACCAATTATCAACTCAAACTAGCCACTATCCATAGGGAATATTTTGGGTCCCACCTGCGGTTACCTTGGCCGGATCATGGATTTCAGGGGACTCTTAAGTGTCCTCAAACTATATCAAGTGGCCAGGAATGAGCACTGTGCAGTAAGATGGAAGTTATTTTGGGGGAAAGATATCCTGTGAGAACTACCAAAAACTAGGAGTGGGGCCTGTTTGTGGACGCAGGCAAGGGCTCAGAGGGGCCGAACAACCCATTTCTGCTGACTCGCTTCTGGTGTATCACGAACTTAGAGGACGACCAGGAGAGAAGTCGAGTGGGCTTTGGAGCCTTGAGCTGGAGGTTTATTTCCCAGTACATCTGTTTCCTCGATGAGCAAATTTTAATTACTCTAAGATCTAGAAAAACACAATGTGTTGCTACACTTTATTTTAAAGTTAATTCTGCAGTGTCACTTCTACAGTTTTGTTGAATTTGCTAAATTCCAGCCTTAGTCTTTTAACTACTTGGTTCATACATATCAAAACTCGGATAATTTTCAAATGAAGCTCTGGCTTGGCCTGAATATGAAATCTTTATAACAAGTAGGTCCTCTGAATATAATACTTTTTTTTTCTGGTTCAAGTTTAGGACTAAATGAACAGAAATTGGAGAGGTTCCAGAGGATAGTAATGAAAATGATTAAAGGACTGATGATGAAAGGTTCAAGGAATTGGGATTACTTAGCCTGGAGAAGAGAAATTTGAGGGGTGATTTAATGGCAATCTTCAAGTACAGTACATGGAGGGTTATTACAAGTATGGGAGCCAGCTGTTCCCCAGCTGCATTAAAGGGTGGAGAAAACTAGAATTTCAGCAAGAGAGCTTTAAGTTAGACTAGCAATATCGGTGGTTCTCAAAGTAGCAGGGAAAACCACTGTGGAAGAACATGAGATAGACACTTTAAACATGCAGGTTTTACCAAGTGCAATACTAAGTTACATATTAATACAACAAAAATTTAAGGTAAACTATGGATTACACACTGAGGACTGGGGACTTGGGGCTGGTGCTGTGATGCAGCGGGTTAAGCCATGGCCTGCAAAACTGCCATCCCATATGGGTGCCAGTTCAAGTTCTGGCTGCTCCACTTCTGATCCAGCTCCCTGCTAATGCACCTGGGGAAGCAGCAGAAGATGGGGCCCCTGCCCCTATGTGGGAAACCTGGAAGAAGCTCCTGGCTTCAGCCTGGCTCAACCCTGGTCATTGGAGCCATTTGGACAACCAGTAGATGGAAGATCTCTTGCTGTCTCTACTTCTGCCTTTCAAATCTTTTATTTAAAAAAACAAAATTGGGACCATACATGCTAACTCTGGAAGGCTGGGTGGGAGTTCCCCACTGGAACCCATAATCTGAGGAGCCCAGTTTGGGAACCAGCATGCTGCAGAGCGAGAAGGTGGCCGCACACACGCAGTGACCATGGCAACCAACAGCCACGGCGCGCGAGGGTGGTGAGGAGCCTCACGCCGTCTAACCTGGTGACTCCTCTCCTTTGCCCCTGCTCTGTATCCACACCTGGAAGAGAAGGCGGCCCCAGCCATGCAGGTGCACCTGAGGGCAGCGTGCTCGGGGGACACGGAAGGGGCCCCAGTGTACTGCAGTGCCCCGGCCCGCCTGCGGATCCAGTTCTCTGCCGCCTCCAGAGGATCAGGAATGCCTCTACTAATGAAATGACACCTTTTTTTTTCCAAATGTTTTATTACAAAGCTTCTTTTAAAAAATGCTCAGCACGTTAACTCAAACTGGAATGACAAACGTTAGATGACAGTTTGGGGCAAAGGCTGTGCCTTGCTATTTAAAAAAAAAAATGGGTACATCAATGTTTATTTTAACAACTGGCATAAAATCCCACTAATTGGCTAATAAAAACAGATACAAATACAGAACATTTAAAGTAATAACAATTCAAGTGCTGGGCTTTTTTACAATAAGGGAGTGAGAAGGAAAAGAAATGAAAATTCACTGCAGACCGCTCTGCTCAAAGTATCTGTTAACCACTAAAAAAAAAAATCGGAAGGAAAATGAAATAGGACTGCCCATTGCTCCTGATGGTGTGGATGTGGCTACTGCATTTGTTTAGCTCTGAACACCTGACCACAGAGGCCACTGCTCATCAGGCAGGTCAGAGGAGCTGGCAGAGTTTGGATAAGCTCTCTCTCGGAAGGAGGCTGCTTTTCATTGCTTTATTTCAAAATTTTCCAGACCTTTGAATTTTTTAAAGCTCATAGCCAGCAAAATATACAACAAAACCAAAAACTAAAAAGTGTAAGTTAAAAAAAAATTCAAGTTTAAAAAAAAAACAAGCAAACATAAGATTGATCCTTTTTGCACTGTTAAATAAAAGCTTTAGGAGAAAGGAAGAGAAAGGAAAATGAAGAGAGGAACGAAGAGGGAACTCTTCCTCAAATCCCTCCACTGGCGACGCCGGCGGGTGTGCCGGCTGCTGGCTCCAGTTGCGCGTGGCAGGCAAATACAGCCGAGCTACTGTCCTTGCCAAAAGGTTACAGGTGTGGACGCAAAACGCTCTGGGAAGTGCACGCAGAGGTGAGGGGAGAGAAGCTGCTCGGCTGACCCAGGGCCTGCTAGCGTCTCGTGTGCTTTCTAATTTCCTTGAACAAAACCGTTTTACGCTTTCTTTTGGATCTGGGCTCTTGCAGTAGACAGTGGGGGCGGGTGGAGGGGGGAGTTGGCAGTGATTGTCTGTATGGATCGGCGTCTCCAGCAGTGACCTCAGGGTGAAGTTGGTGTCAAATGCTCCTTTGGGGTCGACTGGGCAAGCCGTGGAGACAGTCTGGGTTTTCAACAAGCTTCCATTTCCAGAAGAGGTCCTGGGGTCGCTGCCTTGGCTTTGCACGTGGGGAATGAGCTTCGTTTTCCACCTCAAGAAGGAACAAATGAAATGCTGTTAATATGAATCTGCCACAGGCCTCTAAGTAGACCATAACCTGTATTAAACACAGCACGTCTCAGCACCTCTGCACTTGATCAATCCGTTTTTCGGATTTGGTGACGGCTAAAACAGATTGTGCTACGGTATCCACAAATCCTCAGACGTTATCTCGGGGTGAGGATCATGTACTGACTTGACATTTTTTACTCTGGCTCCATGAATGTGTATGTACGGAGTTCTGATGTGAGATGCACTTCATACTTTGGGTCATCATAAAAACAAAACAGCAATGCCAAAAATGCCCCTCCCCACCCCGGACAAATAAACAGCAAGCATGTCTAAAGAACACCAGTAGGCAATGGGTGGTGAAAAGGCAGCAACAGCCAGGGCCCGGCTTGTGATTCTCAAGGGCCTGGTGCATTCGGGCCACTGTGGGGAGCCGTTGTATGATTCTACACAGCATGAACACTAAACAGCCAGCATACTGCTGGCTCCTGTAAGGACAAGCCCAGCCTGACCTGGCCACTCACGTCCCCAGGCCCTAGGACACCGGCCACTCTGGGTTTACTGAAGCCCTGACAATTCTCAAAATCCTTTATTTTCCCTCTTAAGCCCAGCACCTCTAACGTTAGCCTGGGAATATGCTCAGCAAGTATTTTGAAGCAACTGGAGCTGGGTATTGGTGACGATGATTTTCATTGAGGAGAAATCCCAAATGCTCAAAGCTTTAACACAGACCGTGGGAAGCGGTCACAAAGAAGTCCACGTTGTAGCAAGATGAGACAGACAAGGGAAGTAAAGGCAGGGTGAAGGCCCAGGCTGCCTGCCCCGCCCCGGGGAGGGGGTGAGCTCAGCTGAGCAGCGCTGTGTTCCTCCCCAGCCTCCCATGAATCCCCCAACTCATGTGCTTGAGACGGACATCCTTGTTATGCATTCCTTTTTAATTCTAAATGAGATTTCCATATTCCAATGAGTGCTTCTGAGTGGAGAGAGAAATCGGAAGAGAAATCAAAGCAAGTTCTGACACAGCTTGAGGGTGAAAACCACTCCGGATGGCCGGTTAGTCATGTGCTTCTGTGGGCAGACAGTGATGCACGGAACAGGGCTGTGAGGGCGCCTGCCCCGGAGGCTGCGGCCGGCTCACGGAGTCAAGGTGCTCACGCAGCAGGTGTCACGGAGCCAGCACTCCTACTGCAGTCACCACCGGTGCTGTCCCCAGAAACAGATGTGAACCGTGAAGAGACTGTCTCCTAAATGACGAGCTACTGGAAAGGCAAAAGCAGGTCAGCCTTGCGCTGCCTTCAACTGAGCGAACGGTCTGACAATTCCTATTCTGTGCCACAGCTGACCTTTCCCTGGGTAACAGGAACGTTCACACTACAGCGCTGTGCTTTTTTTCTTTTCTATTTAACCTGCGCGCCAAAGCGTGGCCCTGCCTTTCCAAGCAGCAGGCAAGAGGGCTTACTGAGGTGGAGCCCGAGATGGATGCGAGCGGCGGAGGCCGTCTGAGGTGGCACTTTTGCCTCACAGGTTTTCAAAGCCAGGGTCAAGGCTGCTCTTCCGGGAAGGTTTTCCCGCTTCCAGCTTCCTGCTGAGTGCTAGGCTGGCAGCCTGCGATGAGTCCTGGGATGCCCTTGGCAGCAGGAACGTCCGGCAGGGGGCAGGACAAGCTGCCCCTCTGCTGGGATCAGGCGAGCTCTGGTCCTGAGGTACAGGCAGCGCCCCTGGGCCTGAGCGGGGCTTGACTTCCCCCAGGCCACAGCACGCCACACTGCTGGCCCACCCTCTCCCTTCCTCGCCTTACCTGAAAGCACCCTCTCTGCCTCTTCTGATTTTCTGTCTCAACTGTGACGACACAGGCCTGCCAGAGGTGGCAGGTGCCCTCCAGGGTCCTCCCTGTGTGCCTTGCCTGGAGAGACCCCTGAGAGCCCCTGACCCCGCAGTCGCTTCCTCCTGTGGTCTCTTGGTTCCATCCCCCAACAGCGCCACCCTGAACCTCGCTGAGGAGCTGGCCCTGGGGAGGCTCTTTCCTAAGGGTGTAAGCATCGCTCTCACAGCGGCACGCCCTCGCTGTCAAGTCGGGGGCGTGGCCCTGGCCACTAGGGTAGGGCAGCTCTTACCCCCAGATGGGAGCAGAGGGGCCTCCCAGGGTTGTTTTACAGATAGAAAACAGGTCAAATCAAGATTTCTTTTCAAGAAACCACAGGCATGAAGCTCCGGAGCCTGGAGCCTTCCCACATCTGAGGCTTCACTGGGGGGCTGCGGGGAGGCTGGGCCGGGCCAGGCGAGCCTCAGCACAGCCCGACCCAGCCGCGAAGCCTGCGCAATCAAAGCCGGCAATTACTCTCCCGGCCGCGCTCAGCTTCAAAGGGAGCGCAGCCAGGCCCGCCTCACATCTGGGGAGGCTCGGGCTGGCTCTTCCGCGAGTCCCCATGCCAGCCGCTGGTCTGGCGGGCTCCAAGGCAGCGCGTCCCGCTTCCAACTGGAAGCCATCATGCTCTCCTGGACCGCACTCTGCTCCCACCCAGCCAACCAGGAACCCTGGTGGGCAGAGCCACTTACCAAGAGCCCAGGTGCTAAAGGTCTCAAGAGGAGCTGTTTCCGGGAGGCAAACATCCCTCAAAGAAGTAAAGAAAGGGAAATGGGGGACATCCCTTCTCCCCCAGGTCAAATCTAGTGTAGCAAAGAACCAGGGCTTCACCAGCCCGGTGCCCTTCCCCAGGGCTGTGCTAGGACCCCGATTTACGGAGGAGAGGGGGCATGGCCCTCACAACCTGGGACCCAAGCTGGTCTAGAAACAAGCGGCAGCGCCCCTTGGCCTTGAGTAACGTCACCTGCCTGCTCAGCTGCAGAGAAACCACAGTGGATAAATCAAAGACCCCTTCTCCCTCCTCACACCCCACTTCCAAGGCGCCGGAGCCTTAAAGGACGGAGGAGGGAATACAGAGATGGGCCTGTGAGAAAGGGGCAGAGATGTAGGTTGTAATTGCAGCAGTTGGAGTGCAGCAGGCACCTGAGTTTTCCTGCCTGGGGGAAAACAGACAAAAGCCTGTTATTTTAGGGCGTGAACCCACGTTGCACAACGTTACCTGTGCATGCAGGAAGTGGGGTGCAGACGGCAGAGCAGGAAGCGGGCGAGATCTGACTCGCCAGCCCCTGCCTTTTTAGCAGTGGACACTGAGGCATGTGGTCAGTCACGGGCCTGAGGTGACCCCCGGAGAGTGACAAGACTCGCACTGGTCCCCAGGGCCTGTCTAGTGAAACTGGTGAGGAAAAAGGAAGAACATCGGCCCTGGACGTGGGCTCTGTGCCCGGGACTTCAGGTAACCGTCTATAGCTCCACACATCCTTTTTGCAGATAAGGAAATTAGGGCTGCGGGAGTTTACTAACTTGCCTAAGATCAATCAGTGAGTGTCCGAAGGAGCTCCGAAGGAGCTACACGTGTGCCCTGGCTGTACTGCCTTGGAGCTAAATTATCGTTCATTCCTGCCTTCCATCCTAAAGGTCCTTCACGAGGCAACAGCACCTTTGTCCTAGAGGCGGGCAGACTGCATTTAGAAGTCAGGCACTCCAAGGTCCGCTCTATTTGAAGGCATGATAGAGAAAGCCCAGTGTAGGCAGCAAGAACTCAACCCTTGAACTGTCCTCGCTGCTTCCTGGGTCTGCACCAGCAGGAACCAAACCCAGACACTTTGATGTGGGGCGCAGGTGTCCCAACTGATGTCTTAATGGGCTTTGGCCCCAACCCCAACCTGGCCGTTGTGGGAATTTGGGAGGTGGTGGGAGCTCTGCCTTGCAAATAAAAATTTTAAAGAATTTAAAGCAGGTTTGGCGTGGCATAGTGGGTGAAGCCACCACTTGTGATGTCCACATCCCACACTGCTGTACCACTTTGAGTCCTGGCTACTCAGTTTCCTTTTTCAAGATTTATTTGAAAGGCAGAGTTACAGAGAGGAGAGCGAGCAAGCTTCTGTCTGCTGGTTCACTCCCCTGAATGGCCATAATGGCTGAGGCTGGGCCTGGCTGAAGCCAGGAGCTTCTTCTGGGTCTCCTATATGGGTGCAGGGGCCCAAGCGCTTGTGCCATCTTCTGCTTTTCCAAGTGCATTAGCAGGAAGCTGGTTTGGGAGGGGAGAAACCAGGACTCGAGGCAGGACTCGAACCAGCATCCATATGGGATTGCTGGCATCGCAGATGGCGACTTAACCCACTGTGCTACAGCAGCAGCCCTATTACTCAGTTTCTTATTCAGCTTCCTGGTAATGTCTGAGAAGAGCTGGATGATGGTCAAGTATCTGGGCCCCTGCCATCCACGCGGGAGACCTGAAAGGAGCTCCTGGCTTCAGCTTGGCTGAGCCCCAGCTGTTGTGGCCACTTGAGGAGTGAAGCAGTAGGTGGAAGATGGATGTGTCTGTGTTGGTCTTTCAACTAATTTTTTAAAAAGTCTTTTAAAAAGAACCAAATGAATTAAGTTTGCAATTTTAAAATCATCCCTAGGAGCCAAATAGAACCTAAAGAATTCCAGGTTGGGCTCCTGGCAGTAAACCCTGCCTAGTAATTTAGAAAAGGGAGGATCACACTCGAGTTTTGTTTCCACAGACGAAACACAAAGCTCTGAAGCAGAAAGGCCTGGAAGCTGGGGGAGGAGGAGGGCTCGTCAGACCCGTCCTCAGACCCAGGCTGGGACAAGGCAAGGCCAGAGGACCTCAGGCAGCTTCCTCCCCTGTGATGATCCAAAGGCATCTTGATCAGTCGAGGCAGACTTTGGAAATGTTGCGATGACTCTAAATAGGCCTGGACCTATTAACAAACCACGCTGGGGAAACCTCGGGTCCTCCTCCCCCATCAGCCCAGGCTTTCGTGTCTCCTCTGTGAGGACGCACATCTCACTGGTAGGCTGGGCCCCAACGACCTCTCCAATCCTGGAGGAACACTGTGGAGCGTGGCTCTCCATGAGGGCGCCTCGAAGTCCACTTTAGTTCCGGGAAC